GTTTCCACATATACCTGTATGTCTCTTACTTGTATCTCCTCCACATTCAACTTACCCCGCTGATAGAGAGGCCAGTGAGCATTGCTTGGCATACTATCACTGATCGCTTAACATCATCTTTAGAGATGACCATGGATCCATAGCAATTCAACCATGACACACCTAGGGAGACAAATGTGCATATTTTTAAAATAGCATAGCAGAACAAACAAACCTGCACAGGTTGGGTTGGGCCTGAGTGTACTTAGTGCAGACCATATTCCTGTATGGAGTATGGATGTGCTAGGGGCCTCCCTGCTGACTCTGCTTGGTGGGGTGGGGGTGGGGTTGTTCTCCGGAGGGCCTTTCCCAAAACCCAGCAGCAGGAGGTTCTGTCTATCTTGGCCCCTATGTTTTCCTAGGTAAAGCAAATTTCCTGCCTTTCTTTTTGTTCTTCAGAGAATGTCCTTCTTTTTGGCATCTGTCAGTCTACTTCTACTTCTTCATGGGGCAGGTAAGTCATTTTTCCAACAGCTTTGTGAGTATTTCTGAAACCACTTTAGGAGTAGTGGTGAAAACAATGGCTTAAAGAGAAAATTTAAAAAAACAAAGCAGCAAATGACCTAATCCATTCAAATTTTATTTTCATCTGTTAAATGGGAATTATAAATATCTGCTATATGGTTTTCATAGGAACTGGTGACAAGCACATGAGAAAATATGACAGACATATATTGGAAGGTATTTTATTCATTCTATTTTCTTTCTTGTGATGAGAAGAGCTGCTTATCCCTCTACTAGGTTTGTCCATTTGAAGCTATATTTATTTCAGTAACCCACTCACATCCGTAGTGTCAATCTCTTAACCAAAATGAAAGTAAAAATTGAGACCTCTTCCTGTGATTCTGACAAGTAGTAATCTGTACTGTAGTATCCAGGATGTCTGAAATCATGCCCTGAAAAGCCTAGTGGACACTTTATGTTACTCTTTACACTCAAATTCTTCAAAAGTGTCAGTGACAGAGCAAGATGAAGATGCTGGAAATGTTAATGTAATTCAGTATATAAGTAGAAGTTTCTAAAAATTATTATGTATGTAAGCCCTGCAATATGACTTCTCTGTACAGTGATCAAACACATTATAGCTTCAGGCATGTGTCATCCTCAGGGTTCTATGCAGTCCTGCCGGCCTCTTAAAGGTGGCAGCAGCTTGCTCTAGTGGTATCTCAAGAGTTCATGTAAGTTCCAGGCTGTACTTACTGGTTCTTTTTCTTGATCCTCTGTGTGTGTGTGTGTGTGTGTGTGTGTGTGTGTGTGTGTGTGTGTATAAAGGTGCAGTGAGGCAAGGTGCGTTGATAATCATTCATAGTCAGTACCAACTCAGCCAAATTTAAAAAAAAGAATGGGTGTGTATTCAAGTGAGAATAAGAGAAGTATCCCTATCTTATAATTTATAGCAATATTGTCAACCTAATGGTGTGTGACAGGTACTATACCAGATAGTATCTTTTTATAGTTTACTGTATTTTCCAATACAATGGTCTGGAAATAACAGATTGAAATAGATAAAGGAGTTATTAAGATTCAAACAGGACCATATCAGTCAAAAGCTGTCTTATTACTAGTTACATCCTCAATAAACCATGTTTTGTAATTTACTGGCCCACCCTTGGATGCCTGAGTTTGAGACCCTTTTCCCTGGGACCTGAAAGGATGCAGCTGTAGCAAGACCTCCTGGGTAGAATTGGAGAAGCTACCATCAAGGGCCCTGCATGTCCTTGTGAAGAGAGATGGAGGTAGAGACAGCTTACTAAATCAAATATCTACCCATTTTCTCTCCTTCTCTATCTCCATGGAAAATGACTCAGTCTTGTCAGAAAAATAGTCCCTAGGATCCCAAGGTATTTCATAACAACTCTGGAGCAGGTGTTCTCATCCTAATTGTATATGAGGAAACTGCAATCAGAGAGATCAAGTAACTTGCCTGATACTAAAGACTAGTACAGTAAGGGACTACTTAAAACTGGACCTTGGGTTTACAATTTTTCAGGTCATGATTTTTTTAAAATGTTGATATTTTTAATCAAAGCCACATGAGAAAATTAAACCATTTTGGGCAAGAAAACACTTGTTTTTTAATTTGCAAATTCACCTGTCTGTAAAGTAATGCAACTTATCTCTCCCTGTCCCTTCTTTCTATCCTTTCTTTATATTTACTCTTTTATTCCTTCAATAGTTACTAACGTGTTCATCAAACTTAGAATGAGTGCTGTTGTTAGGAGACAGAAAAGCCTGTATCATATGGGAAGCTCTGGAGAGAGACTCTTAGGTTTCAACCATCGATTGTCTACTCACAAGCTGTGTGTCCTTGAGTACCTTCATGGGTCTTGGTTTTCTCAGTAGTAAATTGATGATAATAATAGTGCTGCCCTAATGTGCTATGCAGATTTAATGAGTTAAGGCAGAAAACTCTTTATAATATGTTTGACAATTGTAAACTCTCAATAAAGGTTACCCAGTTCAGTGAGGATCCAGTAGAACAACAGAAACAGAGTGAAGAGAAGGGGAGGGCAAGAGAGGGAAGGAAGGAACTGGATCGTGGACCGTAAGAGTCCTAAGGTCTGTGGTTGGAAAGCTAGAGTTGTTATAGCTCTAGCCTGAGTCCTAGCAACAGCCTGTGCTTCACATCAGGCCTAAAGGCAAAAAGTGATTGTTCAAGCATTTAGACAGTAGTAGGAGGGTCAGCTTTTATGTTTGTTCAAGACTTTCATTGGCTGAGAGCTGCCCACATTAGAGAGAGCAACAGCTTTACTCAGTCTACCTATTCAGATATTCATCTCATCCGAAAGCACACTTACAGATGTACCCAGAACAACATTGTACCAACTATCTGAGCTACGTGGCATTTGCTCCTGGAATGAGCATATTGCGTCCATCATTCAGCTATTGGGTGTGGATCCAGCTGCTCTTGGCTGGGCTGACGGCTGGGAGCTTCCTTGCTGACTAACATCAACCATTGGCTTCACTCATACTGTAACTCTTCACCCGTTTCTTCTGTTTCATCTCACCTCATTGTATCAAGCAGTGTCCTTATGCATAGTCACACTGACCAGCTCTTTCTCCTTTCTGCTGCTTGTCAGCAGCACAGTGCCTCTAGGAGGAAAACAAAGCTTTTTTTCTTAATGCTTAAGTCTTATTCTCTCTCACTCACATTGGGAATTTATCCTGTAGGCAATGGAATAGTAATGTTTGATAATAGTAATATTTTGGTAATGGAATAGTAATGTTACTCAGTAGTAGAGTGGTTTTCTTGCATGTGTGAGGCCCTGGGTTCAGTTCCTAGGAATACACACACACACACACACACACACACACACACACACACACACACACATTTTCTAGCTATGATGTTAAATGTCCTTTTTAAACTTTGAGATATCTTGTTTCTTTCTGCTACTGGTATTTAAATTTGTGATCTTAAATAACTTTTTTTTCCTGGGAATCTGTTTTTTCTTTAAGTGACAGAAACATTTGATAGGAGAATTCTGAATTTTGAAGAATTTTTAAGTAGATTAGAGAGAGATATGGTTCTAATTAAAATGGTAAGGAAGTAGAGATCCCACTGATTTGGTCCTCAGTGGAAAACTCTACCGTGAGTTTTGGGGAAAATAGTTTGAAAATATTGAGGCAAATGATGTCTAAACTTTCTTCTAGCTAGTGTATACCAGGGTTGTATTCCATATTATGATTATCTAAATAGTACATAAGCCTTGGCTGTACTCCCTGCTATTGGTAACTATTTAGACAGAAAGGAATTTGTGGCATGTAGGATGGGTTTATTTACTGAGCATCTGTTTCTTTCTGATGTGCTTTCCTGGATTATTGAAGCTAGAGAATAAAAGACATTTCCAAGATTGCTTTGCTGTTAGAGCTCTGGGAGTGACTTAGGCTCTGCCAATCATATACACTTGTGCAAGGATTACAATGGCAACTAGTTGAAGTGGGAGAAGGGTTACGCAGCACACAAGTGAAAGTGCTTCCTTTGCCACTGTGAATTTGGCAGGTACAGTTTGGGTTGGAAGCCAATGCCGGCTGTGATGCCCTCCTGATTCACCAGCTTCCAAGTAAGGCAGAGGCAGCAGCAACTAGGCCAACCAGTTCTGCTGAATCATTATGAGCCTGGCAAGATGTAGGGGAGGAAAAGTACACGTTGTAAGCTTCACCTTTCCATGCCCTGCTTTAGGCTCATCCCTCCAGTTTTCCAGTGATTCTAAAAACATCTGTATTAAATCCTACCCCTCTTGAAAGAGCTGCAGTGAGTCTGTGATCTGTCGTTAGACCCTACTCAGTGCAATGGTCATTGGTCTTTACTAACTCTACCTCTTCTTTGACAGTCTCAGTGTGGGCAGAAGAACTGCGGGCCCACCCCTTCACTGATGTGACCCTCTCCTGCCATTTCTCCTTTGTGGAGGGCACTGAAAATCTCGAATTTTCTTGGGAAAGAGAAGACATCAGAGAGGAATATGAGGTAGATGATGATGCAAAATTTTATCGCTTTTTCCGTTATTACGACTTCTTTGAAGTTTTCACGAAGTTAGTTTACCAGTTTCACAATAACACAGAGCAACTTGAAGATCAAAATGCCATGTATGAAGGTAGAGTCTCTGTGGACCAGGATGAAATTTCTGAAGGGACACTGTCACTTCTGCTAAGAAATGTGAACTTCATGGATGAAGCAATATACAAGTGCTCAGCCGTCACACCAGATGGAAGGGGCGAAAGTACAATTAAGCTAATCATAGAAGGTAAAGAAATTTTATGAATGAACTTGTTTGAAGCTCTATCTCTGTTCACAAGGATAAGGTATAATTTTTCTCTTTTGGTGTGCTCGCTTTCCCTCTTCTATTCAGATTGCTATAGGTTATATTTATTTCTATCATGAGAGTCAAGGGTTTGGAATGCCAATTTATCTTAGCTAAAAAATACTACTCTGAATAAAAGGTGCTGGGTCTGTACCAGTGTAATCACTCCTTCATTAACAAGTACAAAGCAACATAAGCAGAATTGGCCTAATCCAAAACTGTGCAAACCAACTGTGTCAGTAAAACCCCTAAATCTGCCTTACCACATTTGTCCTGCTTGGAGAGTCTGAGATTTGATATGGGATTTAATGGACATAGCCATGCATTAGGAGTCAGGATGCCCAAGATCTAATTCTGCATGGCTTTGGGCAACTCATTTAGCTTTTCTAGGCTTCACTGTTATTATTAAAATGTAGGTCGAGCTGATCAGTGAATATCCATGGGATCCAGGGATCCTAACCATCCACCAGATTGCCTGGCAAACTATCTTTTTCCTCCAGAGACCTCATGGAGATTGGGGCATCTGCATGGAAGAACTTGTCTAGGATAAGAGTTGGCAGAGCTGGGGAGGTGGTGCTGAGAATCTCTCATACCATTGGAGAGTTTCAGCAGGGTATCAGAGGACAGTGCAGGTCTGGAATGACCTATCTTAAAGAGAGAGACTCCAAAGACAGCAGTGGCAGGTTAGATCTGGAGGACAGTAGCATATTTGTATCCTGTTGGTCTCTCATTATGTTTGGACCACAGTATTAGCCACAATGCACCTCCAGATGTATTAGCTCCATAAGGGGTTACTGTAACAATCAAGGGCAAGATTTCTGCTCCCTTGAGCCTTCTGGGGCTGAAAGTAGAAGGAACTAATTGTTTTGTTATTTCTTCCACTCAGACTCTGAAATGCCCCAGGTGCAATTTGACAAGATTGATGATGAGGATGTGGCTATTTGCATCTCCAAGGGCTGGTACTTTGCACCCAATGTGACTTGGTTGGACAGGGGTGAGAGGGACCTAAGTAATCAGAGTACCGTTGAGATCCTGGAGGAGCAGATGAATGGCCTCTACCGGGTATACTCTGTTCTGAAATACCCAGTCAAGTTAAATGAGAAATATGTCTGTCATATCCAAGAGACAGACCAGAACTACAAGCCCGTCCGAATGATCCGCAGATACCCAAGTAAGTGCAAGCCGGAGGGGAAGAGTGAAGGGATGTGCATCTCATGGCAGAGAAGTCAGCATTCATTAATATTTACTGAATGCCAGATGTACCAGGCACTGCCAGGCACTTTGGGAACTTAAAGGAGGCAGCAGAACATAAGCTTGTAGCCTGGGGCAAATGAAGGTAATGAGGTGGAGTCTCTCTGGGTTTGAAAAAACACCATGCATCAGGGACTGTCAGCCTTCACTCTGCTGAATGTGGCTGCCACTGGAGCCAATGTTTCTGATCCTCTCTTGAGAACATGATGAGCTTTATAACATGACAGGCTATATTTGTGGTGCTAGACTTTCACACTGTAGTCCTTTATTTATAGGTTATTTATTTATTTTAATTCTATATCTATCTATCTGTTTATCTAGAGAAAGGGTTTCATTAAGTTGCCCAGACTGGGTTCGAACTTTTGATCCTCTTGCCTTAGCCTCACAATGTGTTGGTATTACAAGTATATGCCACTATTCCTAGGTATTCAAATCTGACTGGTTGTCCTGTATTATATCTGAGAATGTTATATTTAAGAGATGGAGAAGTAGAGACTCAGAAATGATAAGGAGGAGGGATTCTGGAATAAGAGAAAGAAGAAATTAAACTTTCCCCCTGTTTTAGTAAGTTTGTTTGTTTGTTTTGCAGTACCAGGGATTGAACACAGGACCTTACCAGGCAAGCACTTATTCTATTAAGTCACTTCCCTGGCCCACTTTCCCCCTGTTTTAGGAGGCTAGCATTGTGTAGGCTAGTGGTTCTCTACACATCATCACCAAACTAGAGACACTGGTACCACCCAGGAGCTTGTTATGAATGTAAATTTTCGGGCCCCATCCTTTATCTAGTGAATGAAAACATCTAAAACACTTGTGGATAGGCCTGACAATCTGTTTTAGTAAGGTCTTGTTTCAATCACTCTTCTCTTGTTACTGGGACAAATATCTGACATTCAAAATGAAGGGAGGAAAGATTTATTTAGCTCACACTTACTGGAGGTTTCAGTCCATACTCGGCTGGCTCCAAGGCAGAGTGGCACACAGCAGCGAGTAATGTTTCACAGCAGCAGCAAAGAGCAGAGAGCAAAACAGAGGCGTAGCAGCAACAATGCTTGCAGAGAGCAGGTCTGTCTCCCTTAAACTGCATTCAGTCTTTCTGCCCCCGCCTGGGTGCAGTACTCACACCCATAATCCCAGCAGCACTCATACCCACAATCCCAGTGGATCATGAGTTAATCACCAACTCTAGAAGTCCACCCCATGATTGCATGAGGCTTTGGGGGTACAACTAGACACAAACCATAACAGGCCTCCAGGTGCTTCTGACCCTGAGAATCACTAATGTTGAGTACAAGCCCTTGGGGTGAGGAAGACGTCCAGAGTATTTCTGTCTGTCCCTCCTGTTGAGGATGGGTGCCATCTTCTCAAAGCCATGTTCATCAGATGCAGAAGACAGAGCCCTGGCTCCTTGACTCAGTTCAGTAAAACACAGATAACCAGACAGATTCATACATTTACATCTCCAACTTGAGTTGGAGACGTTTTCTTTCAAAGGAAAAGAGGGACTCATTTATCCTTCAGACTCCTAAATTGTCCCCACATCTGCAGTAGTTAGAGGTCTGTGAACATTGAAGTGGGCATCAGACTCTCCGTGGAGAACACTAGGGCACATTGTTATTTCTTTTATTTTATTTTAAAGAGAAAATAACATTGAAAATGATACAGATTTCAAAGCAAGAAAATAGGAAATTAACAATGTTTATTATATTATATATTATTATCTTCAAAGTAGTTACTCAAATTACAAGATACAGGCATGCAAAATTAATCAAATAATATGAACAAAAACAGTTTCATTCAGTGAACTAATAGAAATTAGCAGTATGATTATCTTAGCTATCCATATTTTCTTTTCCCTTTCTCCTTTTCTCTTTCTCCTTTCCCCTATCCCCAGTTGTTCTATAGGACACATGATTAATTAGTCAACTTCCAAGAAATCCCATTTCTTATTCCCTTAAATTTCAGCACCATAAAAATGATCCTACAAACACTGAAAAGCCTCTATATTGTACTTTCCTTCAAGTCTTTTGATGTACTTATTAAGGCCTTTGAAATCTGGTATCTGCCAGCATTTCTAGCCTTCGTTACTACTGTTTCTTAGCACATGGCTGTTGCTCATTGCTCTGAGCTTGCTGACTGCTTTCCAAATTGTGTTTGTTTTTCCACACTGTTATGCCTGTTTATTGCCTTTGCATTTCTTAGGAAACCAGCTTTCTTTTCTTTATTTATGTCATGGCTCTCATCCTCCCAGATTTGGTTTCAGCTTGAAGCCTGTCTTAACTTTCTCACTTTCCATCTGTTTAACATCTCATTCATCCATGCACTACAATTCATCAAGCTCTAACTCTTTCCCATTCTTACAGGCATGAGAGATGTAGCTGTAATCAAAGTAAATCTCAGCCCCGTGAAGCTTGTAGGTTGGTAATAGAAGGAATTAGCAGTAAACATCACTGAAGTGTGAGGTATATCACTGTCTGAGCCCATTGACATGAAATAAAAAAAAATCAGAAAGACTATACTGTGTTTACTCTCAAGAATAACAGGATGGTGGCTCCCTTGGAGAGTAAAAGGGTAAGAGTGATTGGAAAAGAGCATGAACGATTCCTGAGGTGCTTAGGCTGCACTCTAGTTACATGATTATACTCAGCTTTTGAAAATTAACTGGGTCAGATACTTACATATGCACATTTATTTATATACAGTATGTTTCTATATAAAGTAAAGCACATTCTTGTATTTATCAAATGAAGTAATCCTATAGAGAAAAATAAAGCAGGGAAGGCATATTGGAAAGAGGGGTATGGGGCTGAATATGGTAGTACAAGCCTGTAATCCCAGCTCTCAGGATCCTGAGGCAGGATAATCAATAGCCTGAACTACATAGTGAGCTCAAGGCTAGCCTGAGTGACATAGTGAGAACCTCTCAAATAACTAAATAAATCATGTCAGAAAAGGAGGATTGTAATTTTTTAAATTGGCTGTCCAGAAGAAACGTCACTAAGAGGCAAAATTCTAATAAAGACTTGAAGGAGGTGAGCAAGCCAAGCTCAGAGTAGGGGGTAGGGGAAAAGGGCTAATGGATTTGAGGAACGCAAGAAGGCCAGTAGTTGAGATCGGAAGAGGTTGTGAGAGAGTATGGAACTTGAGATCAGAAAGACAAGAAGAAGATAGATTGCCTTACAGGTGGCTGTAAAGGTTTTGAAGTTTCCTTAGACCATGAGAAGAGATTCCAAGCCTTTGGCGGGTTTTGAACAGAGGAATGAAATGATCTGAGTTAACATTTGTAACATTTGTCTTTCTGTTTACTCTTGAGAGTAGACCCAAGAGAGGCAATAGCAGAAACAGAGTGACCAGTTTGGATTGTACTATAATTCATATATATAAAGAGAAATTGGTGAAGGAGAACTGGGAGGAGTGGACAGGAAAGGAAACAGGAAACTAAAAATGTGTCATTACCTGGGAGATAAAGAAGGATAGAAAACATTTTAGGGTGGAAGGAGTGTTCAAATATGTGAAATGCTACAGAGGGGTCAACTAAGGTGAGAGTTGAAAAGAGGCTGAAAGAAGGAATACTGGGAAATTAAGAAGAGATCACTGGATCATTAATGTGGAAGACAGTTTGCTTTGTAGAACATCGGCAGAGAAATATGTACTAGCTGGAGAAGTCACAGTGTTTCACTTCTCTTATTCTTTTAGATGGGAGAAATAACATATTTATACATAATAATGAACAAATGAGGAAGGCAAATTTTTCTATGCAGCAGAAGGTAAAGAATTGATGAGTAATATCTTATATTAGATATAAGGGTGGTTCTAATGTACAGATGGAAGGATTTCTCTTAGGTAAGATAATGGGAAAGATGATATATTGTATAGATCCAGAAGTGTGGGTGGTATGGTAGTGAGAGTGCATATAAATTCTCTTCTGTTCATTTTAATTTTCTAAATGAAACAGTAGGCAAATCATCAACTGAGTATGAGGTAAGGGATGGGAATGTGGGAGGGGTTGATAATGAACAGATGAATGTTCACTGATACATGATAATCAAGAATGGAATAGATATGTAGGAGGATAGGAGGGAAGAACTAAAGAAAACAGGTTCTTGGGTGGTAGGTCATGAAATTAAACCGAGAACACAAGGCATGTTTGTGAGGTTTTTTCAAGCCTCATTTAGCTATTCAAGGGTAAACACATGGTAAGAGGAAAGCTGGTTTAATCAAATGCCGTAGTTTTGCCATGAACGCACAACAAAGACAGATGCAAGTTAGTGACTCTAATGATCAGTAGAATCTATACTGGTTTATGAAAAATGAATTACACAAAGTGGGAGACAGACACTGGTAAAATGACAGGAGAACGGGAAGTGTAGCTCAGGGTTATAGCACGCTTGCCTAGCAATTGTGAAGCCCTGGGTCTAATTCCGCAAACTGGAATAAAAAAGTGTTAAGAGTCATTGGATTTTCAGTACCAATGGCAGCCCAAAATTTGTTAGTTCGCATCTTAGAATGTTGGAAAAACAGAAGGCAGTGGTTGGAGAGTAAGATCTTGAAACTGAGATAAATTTGAGGTTGTGATTATTGCTAATGGTATAATCTATCTAACCATGAGGAAGATGGCTAGCATAGGATGTGAAGAAAGATCATTAGAGGAGAAAAGATCGAGGTCCAAAGGAAGAGTAAGATAACACATGAGACAGTGACAGCAGTATCATGAAGAAAGAAAGCATAAGGTAAGGGCCGGCAAGATAGCTCAGTGGATTAAGTGCCTGCTTAGGCAAGTGCAGGGATGGGGTTCATTCTCGGCACCACATGCAGTGCCGACTCCACCCCCTCCCCTGCCCCTGGGTGCACTGAACTGGCCACC